GAAATCACGTCTCCTCCAGGCGAGAGGTGCGTCAAGCTGCGCACTGGGAAGACTGACAACACTTGCTGCTTGCACACACGGGTTGCCACGGTACTCGAGGTCCGGAGTGAGAAAGACACAAACAGTGCACTCGCCCTCCGAGTAGTCCCACATCGTGGAAATTGCAGCTAGAGGCGACTGACCGTAGTGATGGTGTCTCGGCATAAAGACGCGCTCAGGTCCATGGTGCACCAGAACACCGGTCGCGGGAGAGAGTCTAGGCATCGCGAGCGGCGGGTGCCAGGATGCACCTTCCTGGAACAGCTCCTCGACAGTCTGGTGTTGGAGCCATTCCTGAGGGGGACGGCGGAAGGTCAGCACATCTCCATCACAGAGCCTCAAATGTTCATCAGGCCTGTGGGCATCCGGGTTGTTACCCACATGTAAGATAATGTCAACATCAGCATAAGAGGCCTGCTGCGTAGCAAAGTGCATGAGCTCATCGAAGTCAATTTCCTCCGGCAGGAGGCAGGCATAGTAGAGCCCTCCAACCATGGTTAGGTCAACCAAAACGGCCCGCATCGCGCCGTCAGGTGACAGTGACGCGATGGACGGAAACCGGACCAATGTGCACCATCCCTGGAACTGCAGAGGGCGAGCAGGCACGCACCGATCAAACAGGCCAGATTCAGCACCAGGGGCCGATTGCAGAACAGTGTCGGTGACATATTCGAGACCATGCCCCGGTGGACACAAGACAGCAAGTCGGATAGGCCGGTAGTGTGGCGTAAACACAGCAACTCCTAGCCACTTGGCGTCGTCACCGCCAACAGGTTCAGGCAGGTCGGCCACATGGTCAAGCGGAATGACTCGCGTACGCCCCAAGTCAAATAGCGTTGGCGCAAGGGGTCCGGCATTCAACAGGGGCTGGCCAACATGATGTGCAAGCTCCTCGAGATCAATGTCATGGGGCCTCCGAGCCTCGTTGACAGCACCAACGACCGGGAAGAAGGCTGCAGCAAGAGCGAAGCTGACGGGCCCAACCGGGAGTGGGGCAACCTCGAAACCAAGATCATGGCAACCTCCGAAGCCAGAGCAAGATGCCCCAGCAAGGGTGCCACCCCAGAGACACCCTGTGACGAAACGTATAAATGTATTGCCACAAAAGGGAGGCTTGCCCCGTCCATCATACGTAGTATACCCGCTGGGTCTCTGAAGTCGGCTGCTTGTGGTGCCACAGCGGCTACCGCGGCGCAGAGGAACACATCGGCTCCCCGGACCCGGTCCGCAAGAAGAGGCGGCATGGAAACAGACCAGGCATAATGCGAAAGCGTGGCCAGGACATGACAAACCATGCGACCGTAAGGCGCGACGGAACGGTTGCAGCAGTCCTGCGGAGAGGCATACAAGGGTCAGCGCACCGACACAGCAGAGGACGGAGGCAGCCTGTTGCTCAACCCAAACGAGTGCACCATCACTGCCCCAGAAGACCTTAGCCCAAAAGCAGGCAAGCGTCAACAAAGTGCCGACGGCAACGAAAAGGTAAGCGCTGCAGCAGACGCCACCAGGGAGAGGAATTGCGGGACGCAGAACCCGACGTGGGGTAGGATCAGCGGCAAGCAGCCTGGTCCGAGCACACACTAACAGGAGAGCCTGAAGGCGGCAAAGGACACAACCAAGGGCCACGCATAAACTGAAGGCGCAGTACGCCAAAACAGGGAGGGACCATAGAGTGGGTGGAAGCCCCAGAGCCACCGATGCTTCTCTTCGGCACGCCACTTCACTAGGTACAACCTCCAAACCGACTAAGACTAAAAAAGGTGCCTGGGCATCGCCGCGAGGGGACGCACAACAGAAGGGCTGCAAGACGCACGAAGGCGGCAGCGTGGCACGTAGCACCTCGAAGAGGCAAGAAGAAAAGCCTGCACAACAAGTCTTGGCAAGGCTTGTGGGACTCGAGGCGAACTTGCTAGCCAAACAAGCCGCAACGAGACCACAAAAAGGGGGGTCTGAAACAAGATGTCCCCCACAGTCCATGAGAGGAACTATCCCGAATCCGACCTCGGCACTGATTGCAAAACTGAAAGGCGTTGGAAGAGCCTCGCACGGGACGCACTCACAGAAGAGCCAAAACGGGCTAAAGCCCTCACCGTATGTGACAACACACCACGTGGGTGCCTCTACACCGTCTGAGTGAAACCGGATGTGTCGACAGCAATCTATGTCATAGACACCGTGGAGATCGCCTTGCCCACAGGGATCTAGCACGTCAGGTGTCCCCAGTGACACCTGGCGCCATCGTCCCTCTAGGCGGCCAATCCCCTCGGGTCGCTGACATGATTCGCTTGATACATCCCTAAGAGCGGCCTCACTCAGCATCCGTGCCCTTACGTGACGTTCCCTGACGAGTCTCTCTTGGCCTGAAGCCTGGCTAGCTCCTCCGCAGTCAGGCCAACATTCAGATCTGGGTCGTCGTCGTCTTCCAGAAAGGGCGAGGGAGCCGGTTCGGCGGGCCCAGTATGCTCCGCGGTTGTCGAAGGCAGACCAAAGGGATTGAGAGCACGGCGAGCCTGAAGTTGTTCGTCCAGACCACCACTTGGAGCCGAAGTCGGAGCCTTTTCCGATGGCCCGGCAGCCGCATCCAGCTTGGCACCCTGGTTCACATGGCTGGGGGGGTAGGGGGATGTTCTCCCCCCCCCCCGGTTCCCAGGCAGCGCACCATATGATGGAGTCATTCCAGTCGGCATTGGTGACACTGCATGATAAGGATCCGTGCCAGTACGATTCTCGGGCGCAGAGTAGGGGGCGGCTGCCTGTCCCATCTGTGGGGTGCGCGGAGCAACATGTGCTGGCCTCAAAGGTGTTTCGATGCCAGGTGGCCCAGGGCCCAGAGCCCGGGAGAGCAAAGCTTGATAGTCCTGTCCTGGCGGCTTCTCCGCCATCCATTGGTCGAACATATCGTCCACCTCGGCATCCCCATCCTCCATCGGGGCGGGCGCAGCTGCACTGTCCTGCTGGCCAGTATAGAAGTTGCGCACGCACGCTCTGGCCGATTCGCGGTGCATCTCCGCTTCTTGGTGCTCTCTGGCCAACTTGGCCATCCTGGCCTGGAAGCGACCCTTCTCGCGCAAGAGGGCTTCCTTCATCTTCTTCTGGTACTCCTGCCACAAGAGCGAGGTCCGCTCCTGCGTCTTGAGGCTCCGATCGACTCGCCCCTCTGCTTTGCTGAAGGCTGTAAGGGCCTCTTGCAATCCCTGGAAGACACCGGGGGCTCGCACCGGAGCATCCTCGGCCTCCTTCTTGGGTGCCTTGGCACTCGAGCTCGTTGGCAAAGCATCGAAAGCCGGAAAGGCGGGGAGAGCAGGCTGCTTCCATCCATCCTGACCTTCCCAGTGGGGGCGCGCACGACTCTTCGGAGAAACATAAGCCGAGCCACGCCAGAGCGAGTACGACTTGTCTTCCCATGCTCGCGATCCTCTGCCCATAGGTCCCAGCCTGGCCTTGGTAGACGCCGGGGTGGCGTGATGTGTCCGCAGACACAACGCCTGTTTGGCAGTTGGGCACCGGCCCTTCCGAAGACACCTCCGGGCCGCTGCTCTACGCCTCCGTAGAGCCCTGTGCCAGGCCGGTGACGGCAAAGACTTCCCAATGGCGAGGAGGAAGCCTAAAACGCACTACGTGCTGGGGGCACACGACCAGCTCCGCTATGGAGCGCTTCGAGCCCCTATATATATATAGATAGATATACATGTTTTATGTATGTATGTATGTATGTATGCACGTATGTATGTACTGCTTTGTAGGCCCGAGCACTAAACCCCTAAACCCCGGTAAGCAGCGCATGTCTACAGCAGGATCCCGCCGAAACACGGGAAGAAGCGGCAGGAACTGAGGCTGCTCTTCAGCAAATCTCTTCTCCGCCAGCAGTTTAAGGCTTCATGGGTTGAGGGTGTCAGCGGGATTTAGGAGGGTTTGGGGTTTTGCGCGATTTAGAGTTCATGGTTTGTTAGGGGCTTAGGGTAGGATTTTAGGGAGAGTATAACAGATTCGAATGCTGCGGAACCTGCGGCGACGTCGCAGAGATTGTGCTGCCTAGACGATGGGAGGATCCGAGGGGTGGTCCTCAAAACGATCTGCGTCTTCGCCCTTGACACCGTGCGAACTTTTTGGCTTCGGGCTAAGTGCCTCTGGGACTGTAGGGTTGAGGATGGTACTTGGGGGAGGCCAGGGCTTTGAGAGACTAAGGGCCTAGGGACATCCCAGCTCCGGGCTTTAGGCATCGAAGAGGTCTCTTGGTCGATAGAATGCCATGGGTCAGGGGCTAGGGTACCAGCACGCCTGGCAACTGCGGTACTATGTTATCGAAATCCACCCTGCCACTATATGATGCTATGCTGCTCTCATACTATACTATCTCATATTCGGGCCTCGCTATTTACGGTTTACACTGGAGGTCTGGGAAAAACCACCCCTGCAGTCTCCTTTGGAGGTAGCAAAATTGCGGAGTCCACTCACTGTGCATGGGTTCGGGGGTGGAAGGCTTCAGGCTTTATGGTGTGAAGGCGTCACAGGTTCAACTTACTATGTCGCGCTCGTAGACCATTGCTCGGGCTCATTGCAATTACCTACCATGGCATGGCGTTTCTTGTGCAACTCTCTACTGTTTTCGGCTGGGGCCCGGAATCTGCCCTGAGGGCATAATGAAGGTTCAGGGTTTTTGGTGTTGGTGCCCATAGGGCTCAAGATACGAAAGTTTTAGAGCTGGTGGTCAAGGCTTAGAATCAGAAACTTCGGGGTGAGTGGACAGTAGAAACTCGGGCTCAACAGCGCTTCTTGCACACACGCCCAGTGCAAGCCCACAGCGCGCTGAAACACCGAACCAGCGGCGCGAAGCCCTAAAACTAGGGAGGGGGCTTAGAATTTGGGCCTCAAGATGGCGTGAGTTTAGACTTTATACCTATATCAGCCCCATAAACCCTAAATACCCCCCAAAAAAACAAAACCTTTATGGAGCCCCGTAGCTACGCCCCCAGCAGCGCCCGAGGGCTCGTCAACCACGGGCTCTGCCGCAGCGCCCGTGCACTGGGCCGAGCATTGGGATCTTGACCTCAGGGAGCTAAACCCTAAGGGCCTTAAGTAGAATAGGGTTTTGGGGCCCACTATACTATAATTAAAATAAGGAACCCTAACTAACCCTGAAAAAATTAGGGCTCGGGCGGTTTACCCATAGGCCCCAAAGTAGTTCCTTTTGGGGATTACCTTATAGGATTCTAAATGTGAGCCCCAGAATGGAGCTACTTTGGGGCCTTAGGGTAATGTTACGGCTTGTTTCATCCGATGGGCCTCTGAAGTGTGTTTTTCCCTTATTCAAGCCGGTACCCAAACTAGCGACGGCCTCACTACTGCGGTTTTTTCTTTGGCTGGGCGGATTCTTTCTGGGGGTGACTGTCCTGTCTGCTGATGGTCAATCTTGAGGCACCCACGACCTAAACCCCCGCCCAAACCCCCAAACCCTGGCCCTGAAGCCCGAAACTCTCCCCAAAATTCGAAACCCCGCTTAAACCTAAACCCTAAACCCTAACCATACAGTACCATCACCGTACTACTACGGTACTCCTGTACTACTACTGTCCTACTATGTACCACTCCTGTACTACTACTACTACTACTACTACGACGACGACTACTACTACTACTACTACCACTACCACTACCACTACCACTACCACTACTACTACTACTACTACTACTACTACTACTACTACTACTACTACTACTACTACCACGGTACTACTACATTACTACTGTACTACTACTGTACTACTACTGTACTAGTACTAGTACTAGTACTAGCACTAGCACTAGCACTAGCACTAGCACTAGCTAGTACTAGTACTAGTACTAGTACTAGTACTACTACTACTACTACTACTACTACTACTACTACTACTACTACTACGACTACTGCACTACCACTCTACTACTATTGAACTTTTACGGTGGTAAAGTACTATCTATTACTGTACTACTACTGTACTACTGCACACTACCAGGGAGGGGGGAGTGTAGGCTGGAAGGAAAAGTCTTCAAAATGAAGGGCTTCTAGTATCTAGTCTTGGTAATTAGATTGGAGTGATCGGGGCTTGGTTTCGATTTTTGGTGATCCCGACCCCGACCCAGGCATCCGCGGAGAACCGCAGACCCCCCACCCAAGCCCTCCCCAAACCTCCCGGACCCCCGCAATTCCCTTCCCGTAATCAACGCCGCTCAGTCGCTGCGAAGGGTCACTGACACCAAACTATTCAGGCCAAACTTTTGGTCGGGGGGGGGGAGGGGGCAGGGCTTATTGAACAAGCCGTAGCATTAGGGACCCTTACCCCTTATCCCCATGTAAAAACCCTAAACCCCGGTTTCTTGAAAGCTCCATTTTCCCCCGGCTTCAGGGTTCTGGATTTTGGTGTTTGCGTGCGCGATTTGTCAGGGGCCTACAGCGAGCTCGAAGGGGCTGACCAAGCTTCTATCGCATCCACCGGCACTTGCACGTATGAATGCAAGTCCGTGAGTAGAAGCAAAACCCTGACAGCAATTGAACACTAAACCCTAAACCCCAAAAGAACCCCAAAACTCCCACATAGCTTTTTCAGCACGGACTGAGGTGCCGGTCGAATATGACTGCCAGCACTGCCTCTTCCGCTGCTCTGACCCTAAACACCAAAAGCTTTGATCTAAGGTAAAAGGAGGGACCCTGAATAAGGACCCCTAGGTATATACTTTTTAATATGGCTATTATATACCCATTCTATAGGCCGTTATAGGGTAGAGGTCCCCATTAAGGGTCCCTCCTTCTCCCCTTAGATTTTACGTCACTGGCCCAAAACCCCAAGGAAATGAAAGTTGAAACTTTCAGAATCGACTACCGTATAAGAACCCCAAAAGTTGAAAAGTTGAGTTTGCAGCCAATAAGTTTCGTAAACCCTAAACCCTAAACCCTAAGTTTCGTTCCAGGGAGCTCAGGAGCCCGGCGACCAGCTGCCGAAACTCGTGGCTGCCCGGGCCGCCTTCCGGGAACTGGAGCCTCGGGAAGCCGAGGGTTCAGTCGGAGTTTGGGCTTAGGCCCTAAACCCCTAAACACCTAAACCCCAAAACCCTAAACCCCTAAACCCCTAAACCTTAAACCCCTAAACCCTTTGAGAGTATGAATTTCACGTTTAGGGGTTTATGCTCCAGCAACTCGTTCAGTCGGTTTCGGGTTTTCAGGGTTTCGGCGCTCACACTCGGACAATCCAGGCGTTTAAGGCTCTACACTCTCACAACTCGGACATGCGAGGCGACGTCCATAGTTCGGATCTGTGTGACACAGGAGGAATGGCTTAGGGTTCGAACTTGTTGTCCAGTACCCTATACGAGTAGAAAGCTAAATGCTAACCGTTGCTCGACATATCAAGCCGTTTGCGTCTGGGCCGGCGGTTTCGGCACACTTCTTACACAGATAGAAACGAAAGCCTCGCTACGCTAGCTTTCGTGATTTTGGACCCAAACCAGTACCAGGCCGCCTGGGGGCTTCTCGCAATCAAAACCCAAGCTCAACCCAAAACTAACGCCCCAAACCCTCTGCCCCCAAAACCCAAATCAAATTCTCTCATCCGAAGCAAACACTCCAGGCGAAAACCTGAGAATCTCAACGGAAGCAAGCAGGCCACACCCTAAAGCCTAAAACTCTCAAACACCCTCCACCCCAAACCTGAAACCCTCAACCGAAACAGCAGAATTCCACAAACCCTAGCGCCCTAACTCCAAGCCTCAAAAGCCACAAACGCCAAACCGTAAACCCTAAATACCCTAAACCTACACCCTGTTTTAAACCCGTATTGAGGCCGATGCGTGTGACGGGAGAGAGCGTTCTCCCACACCCTGAACTTTGAAGCCCCCAAACCCTAAGCGCTAACCCCCAACCCTAAGCCCTAAACCCTAAAACCCTAACCCCAAGAAGACCCTCTGCGAGGATCCAGGCGCTCCCTTTGAATGATTTTCAGCTGCAGCTCAAAGTTGGTCTCCGCCCAGAAGGGGCACTGACCAAAAGCCAAGACCTCCGCAAGGCTTTTGGGCGGCTTTACAGGGTTTAGGGCTTTAAGGCCTTTCGGGTTTAGGCAGGGTTGTATATGACGAACTGGGCTTTCTATAAGAGGTTTGCGAGAGTTGGAGGTCTTTGCTTATTGGGGAAAAGGGTCCATTTTTTGTCAACCCAGAGTGTCGTTGCAAGAGCACCCAGGGGTAGAGCAAAAAGCACCAAGGCAGCATCCAACAGTTTTGGCATCTGACTCCTGACACACCAAACACCCCACATGGCCGGCAGAGGCACGCATCTTCATGTCCTCACTTCTAACTCCAATAAACAAAACTGCTGCGTGCCGACTCAGCACTAGATTCATTACTCACAGCGGATAAGGAATCAGCAAGCAACCACCTGAATCATCATCATCATCATCATCCTCAGCAGCTACATGAAGCATCACAAGCACCAAGCACCGCCAAACCCATAACAAAAACGCCATTACCACGTTCGCCACATCTGCAACCCGGGACAAAGAAGGACCGAGGAGCGAAGAGAACACAGCCGAGGGACCTCGGCTGTTCATTTTGGAGTTTCCGAAAATTAGGGGGTACCTTATTTTGGGGTCCTTATGATAAGGATCCTGCTATTTAGGGTGCCATATTAGGGTCCCCTATTTTCGGAAACTCCCATTTTGCAACTGGGTGCCTGCTTGGTTAGGAGTAGTGGTTGCTTCTTGTAGATCCTCGGAAGGACTCAAAATGCCACAACTACTGCGAGCATCAACAAGCCTTCGATTTATGGCGTTGGGCCCGTTGAGAAGGCTCCCGAAGTTTCAATTAAATTCCCGACCCTACCCAAAACTCTCAACCCTAACCTCAACGCCGAAGCCTTGGACTCAACCGAAGACCTGAGCCCCAAAACCTTCATTCATGCATTGAATTAAAAGACCCTATCCGTCAATCCCAAGACCGAGGACCTGGACGCCCTGAGCCCTGGCTCAAGCCCAAGGAACCTGAAGTGCAAAGGACCTCAGACACTACCCAGAGGCTCCAAAGTAGTTCATTTTTGGGGTTCATATATAGAAGCCTATAAGGTAATCCCAAAAAGGAACTACTATGGGGCCTCTGCGTAGGCCCGACCCCGATCTGCTCGCAGAGTCACCACATGTCACGTGGCTTTCCTTTGATTGAGACCTGGCCATCGAAGCACTCGGGTGGAGTGAACTGATGCGTGCCCTGCGCATCGTAGATCAGAAAGTCTGGCTCCTGGAATACAGGGTTTCTCTAAGGCTCACCGTAAGGATTCTTTAATAGTTGAAAGGGCCTGTCTAAGGTCTTTATAGGTTTAGGGCTTGGGGTGAGGGTTTGGCAATGGGGATTGCGGATGAGGAAAATGGCGCACATTCGAAAAAAGTTATCTCGGGCAATGAGTCCAGGTACTTAGCAAGTTCTATGGCACGACGCAGTTCTCAACCAACAAGTCGCAGCAGTAGTAGTAGTAGTAGTAGTAGTAGTAGTAGTAGGAGGAGGAGGAGGAGTAGGAGTAGGAGTAGGAGTAGTAGTAGTAGTAGTAGGAGGAGGAGGAGGAGGAAGAGTAGGAGTAGGAGTAGGAGTAGTAGTAGTCGTCGTCGTCGTAGTAGTAGTAGTAGTGGTGGTGGTAGTGGTAGTGGTAGTGGTAGTGGTAGTGGTAGTGGTAGCGGTAGTGGTAGTGGTAGTGGTAGTGGTAGTGGTAGTGGGAGTGGGAGTGGGAGTGGGAGTGGGAGTGGGAGTGGTAGTGGAAGTAGTAGTAGTAGTAGTAGTAGTAGTAGTAGTAGTAGTAGTAGTAGTAGTAGTAGTAGTAGTAGTAGTAGTAGTAGTAATAGTAGTCGTGGTGGTGGTGGTGGTGGTGGTGGTGGCGGCGGTGGTAGTGCTAGTGCTAGTGGTAGTAGTAGTCGTCGTCGTCTTTCTTCGTAGTCGTAGTCGTAGTGGTGGTAGCAGTCGTCGTCGTAGTCGTAGTGGTGGTAGTAGTAGTAGTAGTAGTAGTAGTAGTAGCAGTAGCAGTAGCAGTAGCAGTAGCAGTAGCAGTAGCAGTAGCAGTAGCAGTAACAGTAGCAGTAACAGCGGTAGTAGTAGTAGTAGTAGTAGTAGTAGTAGTAGTAGTAGTAGTAGTAGTAGTAGTAGTAGTAGTAGTAGTAGTAGTAGTGGTAGTAGTAGTAGTAGTAGTAGTAGTAGTAGTAGTAGTAGTAGCGGCAATAGTAGTAGTGCTACGACTACTACGACGACGACTACTACTACTTCTACTTCTACTTCTACTTCTACTACTTCTACTACTACTACTACTACTACTACTACTACTACTACTACTACTACTACTACTAGCGTGTCCTCGAGGCAGGTATTGCAACGAGCGTGCTGAACGAAGCAAAAACACGAACGGCAAATAGACATCAAGAGCCACAGCTGCAAAAGTAAAAACATCGCCGTGATAGTGGGCAGCAGCAGCAGCAGCAGCAACCACAGAGAGACCAACACCCAGCTCCACGAAGACCTTACACTTCTCATGCTACCTACCGCAACAAAGTTGGCAGGACTCGAGTCATTAATCCATCCAGCAACACCCAAGCCCAGGCACCAAAAGACTTACGAGAGCTTGAACAACTTGAAACTTCCTGATATATCTTTAGCGACTTAATTAAGCCCATCACCCCTAAATCCTGGTACTCAGGGCCACGATCCGTGGCTTGCAGTGAACGCAAGTTCCGGGCATGCTGGATCCGGATCCAGGCTAACCGTGGAGCCCGAAACCTCTTGGTCTTTTGAAAAAGTCTTTGGGCCGCTACCGAAGATCGTGCTCCTGGCATGCTTCTGCCGAGCCGAAGTCCGCAATCTTCACCGAGAGCGTCGCACCGGCGAGGAGCTCGTGCCTCCGAGCTCGTGGGCTCGAGGCTTGTCATGCATACGGCTTTAGAGCTAAGTGAAAACCGACATAAAAAGTGCCAGCAGGCTAGCACCGAGAAGAAGAATTAGATTCTGTTCCGTGATGCTCAAACACCTTCCGAATTCAATTCCGGATCTGCGAGCTACACATGCAGGTTGAATCAAGCAAGGACGAAACCCTGTAGTTTACCACTCCGTAATAACCCCAGATCTTGAACACTTGCGACTTGCGTCCCAGCCACAGCGTCTGTCTGTCCCGCTTCGCGGGTGCCTGTTCGAGGGGGGTCGAGCAAAACCTTTAGGGCCTTACTTTAGGGTTTCGGCACTCGCTCTCGGACGTGCCAGGCAAGCGTTGCTGGTACTACAAGTAAGTGCGCTGTTCATGAACCCCAGACGACTTATCCCTACTTAAAGACGATTGCGCTCCGAGAATCCCACTACGCGGGCTTCATGTGTCGATGATGAGAGACTCTTTGAAGGTGTGGCTGCACAAATAGATGCCACGGTGCTAAAGGGAATCCCAGCACCAATCATCCTAATCACGTTCCACAATGTTTTGGCGTTTCATGTCCGCTGAGAAGCTCCCTTTCTGCAAAACCGCTTCTTTACTGAAAGACACGCTGAGAGAGACTGCTAGTCAGCAGACAAGCTATGCCATGCCAAAGCTATGCCTGCTCTTCCCAAATCACAGAACCCTGATACCTTGACACTCGACGGTCCTTTCAATGTCAAGCACACGACCCAGCAACTCCACAACCTCGAAATCCTGCACCGCGCTCAACCTTCAACTCTACGTCGACACCCGGCTCTCATCGACCTCTGTTGTCGGTGGCAGCAGAGTCGGCCACCGACTCCTTTGCTGGGTTTGCGGTTGCTGTCTGACATCGGCATCCACTAACCACGAACCCTTTGAATCCCATAGCCCGAAAGCCGGGCAAAACCAAACTGCTGCTTGGTGAGAGCGAGGGCTTCTGGGCTTCTGGGCCGGCACCCTGAATCCTATCAAAACTCAAAACTCGCCCAATTCACCCAAACCCGAACGCCCAAACGATATGTTTGAAGAATCTAAACCCTCCATCCTCACAACCTCGTACACCGAAAGCCGCCTCAAGGCCCAGGACCCTATCCCTAAACCTGATAAATCTTATCAACCCTACGCCTGTACTTATGCATCCGATAGTGAAACCCGATAAACCTGATACACCTAGAAAAAACCTTGGCAAAAACCCTAACCCTTGACCCAAAACCGCCCCCCAAAAGAAGCCCAGGAGCAGGCTCACAGCCGAGACGAAGCGCGCGTCGCGGACGGGAATGGGCTTGGAGAGGACCAGATTGGGGGGCTTCAGGTCCTTTCTGCTGGGGTTTAGGGTGTAAGAAACATTATAGGGTCTATAACGATTATAGGGATTATAATACATATCATATTTATAGGGTTCTTTTCAATAATTATAGGGCTTGTAAGAATTCTAGGGGTTATAATACTTATAGGGTTTGTAATAGTTATAGGGTTTAGGTTTAGGCATCAGGTGCTATACTGAGGCTTCAGGTATTTCTGCGCTTTTTGCTCACAAGGTTTAGGGGTTTTTGGTCCAGGATTAGGGGTTTGGGTTCTATAAGGGTTTTAGATCGGAATATTTGTGGCTTTTGAGCTTGAGGACGAATGCAGGGGCCTTCATGCTAAGAAATGGTACAACAACATAATGGATCAAGGAACCTTGAGGAAAATATTGGTAATTATTTCGGCCCTTATATTCTATAGAGACTCTACTACCCCAAACGGTTATATGTACCTGTCAACTGCTGAATAAAGCTTTGGGCTTTGGGGTTTGAGGCCATTTCGCGGACAGCAGGTCGACCTTACCCGCAGCAATACTAATTATCAAGCCCCTGGTGAACTGCCATAAAAACAACCCTTCTGACCCTCTCAAAGTATATGCTATTCAATAAAAACTACAACAGCTTATTATCACAAGACCTTGGCATTCTTGACTCTCATTCCCTGAGCCCGACAAACCCCTAGCAACAGGCCCCTAAAATCCCCTAAACCCGTTTCGGTTTGTAAAAGACCTACGGACCGTTGTAGATCCCCGCATACACAACCATTATGGACCCCGTTCTACAACCCTTACAGAAACCTTACAGGACGCACGTTTGCTTCTCTATGGAACTCTTGCAGGCCCAGCCCCACTTATAGAAGCCGCATAGAAACCCGCAGAACCCATTTATAGAACCCTTACAGAACCTTGCAACCCATACGTGTACGAAGCCCTTGAAAAAACAATGGACTCCTTGTGGATAATCCCCCTGTCGTGGATGAAGGTCAGGCCGTCCGTGAGCTGACAACAGAAGAACCTCTCAGAGTTTTGGGTAAAGCTTTTGGAACCTGCCAGACGCACGATCTGTACGAGCATGAAGTTTTGAACGGACTCTATGGAAGAAGGTGCCGTGAGGGGTTCCAAAATCAAGGAAGTCGAGTACAAGGGGTAGGCTCTTTAGAAAGGTGTTTTTCTATGAGGGGTCTGTGGGGTTCTGTACAAGTTGTAAGTTGTAGGGTTTCGGCTGCAGCACTATGGATTTCGGGATTGAGGTTTAGGGTTTTAGAAGTTCTAGGGTCTGTTTTGAATGAAGATTGCCGGCGTCTTCGTCGGGTGTTTCATTCGGGCTGCCTTCCCATTTTCGAACCGCCAAGACCCATGTGCTTTGCATTTAGAGCTCTGGGGAAAGCCCACCTCAACCAGGCTTGACTCGAAGTGCTGGTGTGATGGAGTTGGGTTACTTTCATGGTATCCAGTATAAGCCCTGAACAGCCAAATTCTCTTTCTCAGAACACCCCATGCAGGACCAAACGTCAGGCGAGGGCGCCAAGCCTGAAACCCACGTGTCTTGGGCTTATGCTGTAGGGTTTAGACCCCATACACGAAGCCCCCCACGCATCGCATGAGCCCGTGCAAAAGGGAAGACGCAGCTGTGCATCCCGAAACTTTAAAATTTTACGCCTGGACACACAACCTTTTTGCAACTGGCCTGCTGCGACTCCGCCAGGACGAACACTTGACCACAATCACGGAGCAAGCGACTCGTGGACACACAACCTTAAACTTTAAGTCCGAAACCTAAATATCGCGGTCTCCAAACACTAAACCTTAAACTTCAAGACCCTAAAACATACACGTCTCTCTGTTATGTTGCCTCATCTCAAAAAGGCGGAAGCCCTAAATCTCAGACCCGGGGCCTGCCTCACAAGCTCTTCCTGGAAGACCAGGACCTCACGCTGTTTCCTCAGATGTATTCGAAGGTTTTTGGCTTTGTGAAGATCACAAGACTCCAGGCGGTTCCGACGGCTTCACTTTTCCATGATCCGCATTCGGGCGATCTCAGGTGACTAATTAAGGGGACCTTGATAAGAAAGGTTCCCGGACGCACACTTCTTCCTGACTGAACATGTGGTTTCTTTACAAATCCCGGGCTTGAATGGCATCAGCTGCAACGACACCTGAATCAAGCGTAGAAATCTGCACATCCGGGGAATAACATGTTCAGACAGGTTCACCTCTTAGAGGTGATTGTAACCACTTCTTCGTCTTCCACAAGTACAAACTCAGCCCTCTGAAGAACCCTTTTAAACAACCCCATTGGAGCTCCACGTTTGGTCAGCACATCCACGATCATCTGCTTGGTAGCCATCCATCTGAGAGATATTCTGTAACTCGCGATGTCTTCCTTCACAAGCATCATCTCGATGGCCACTCTCTTATCCTTAACTGCAATTGTGGGCCCCTCCACATGGTCGTAGACAGGCTTGCAGTCGATAACAGCAGTGATTGGAATCATGCTACTCCATTTGAAGTCTGTCTGCAGGGTATACTTCTCATATATGGCCTCGCACCACATTGATCTCACCCAACGAGCTTCAGCTAGTCCGCGTGACAAGGCAATCAGTTCAGCACCAAGTGTACTGTGAGTTTGTCTGTCTTGCTTGTAACTTCGCCAGCGCATAACAGAAAACGTTCCCCACTCGCCGCGAGGAAGTCTCTCATCACATGCTGCTATCATGTATCCTGCTTGGCTGCAGCACCCTTGTGCATTCGCCCAGGCTGCATCAGACAACATCACAAACTGAACTTTGGCTAACGGAATGCTGCGGATCCATATATACGCATCGCTGTTGTCATGACACAAACTGACCAACTTGTTCATGTCAATCAAGTCTGACACAGTGGCAGAACATACACGCTGTTGCAAAAGTGAGCACCATGCTGCAAGATCAGGTCTGCTACTTGTCACCAGCCAGTTCACAGCTCCCAACACGCCTCTCATCTGCCGTCTCTCATCTTCAGTCACGGACTCTTCTTTCTCCCGACGACGTTCACGAGACAAGCTTATGCCCTTAAGTTGTTTCGCATACTCACACTGACTGATGCGGATGCTGCTGTCGGCTTGCTGCTGCAGTTGTTTTCCCAGGAAATCTCCTGAGCCAGTTTTCCAATGCTTGAAGGGAAACATCTTTCGCAACGGTTCGAGCACTTGCCTCCTAAAGGCCTCATTACCTCCAGCACACAAGTCATCGACATGAAGAGCAATTGTGCCAGCAATCTCACCCTTGTCGAAGTAGTAAAACAAGCACGGATCAAACCGGGAAACCTGCATACCCAAGGACTTGAGCCTAGCCGAGAAACACTGCCACCAAGCTTTCGGCGCGTCAGCAAGACCATAAATGGTTTTCACAGCTTCAACAATGCTCCCTTCAGGAACACCTGGCACTCCACCAGGCGGAAGATCAATAAAGATCTTTCCCCGTTTCGGATCAATCTCATCGCCTCGAAGAAACGCACCCTCAACATCAGCGATGTTCAGGACCCATTTTTGAGAAGCAATCAACTGCATGGCCACTGAAAACCCTTCCATCGACAAAGTTGGAGCACTTGTGTCCAACTGCAACAAGTCAGGATCCAGATAGCCTCTTACACACCACCTGGCCTTGATGTCGTCGGCCATCGGGCTACTTCCTGCTTCCGCTTCCGTGAGCACAAACCGAGACTTCAACAATCGACCTTTCTCAAGCCCTGACCTAATCCTCGAAGCCTCTGCTCCAACATGTACCTTGATGGCACCACTGTTCACAAGCTTGGTCCATTCCTTGACCTTTGCTTTACTTAGGCCCTCCTTCTTGTGTCGAGGGATCTCATGATCAAGGAGTTCCTTCCGTCCTTTCTTGATGTTCACTTCAAAACACTCCGCCTTCGACTGATCACGCATGCACCAGCCGTCCTTCAACACAAACTCAGTTCGACCAGTCCAGAAGCCACCACGGATAGCAAGCTCATGCGTAGACGGATCATCCCACTGGTATTCCTTGCACACCTGCCTGCCGTAGCGATCATATCCCACTAGGCAGCACGTCTTTTCCAGAAACTTGGGATCCACAGGCAACTCACCTTCACTTGGCACAAACACACCCCGTCTTTCCACGGCATGAACACGCACCAATCGCGACCGGCCATGCACAACCATCCAACGATCACCCTCAACTGAAAGCACCTCCAAGTCATCATCGGGCATTTCGCTGTCGGGCACAGGAATGGACGCAACCTCTTCAGGAGATCGCATAGTGTCCGTGCTCGCACGCCCTCGGTCTAGCAACTCAGGATCTGCACGCAACATGCTGGTCAATGGAGTCGTTCGCGCTTTCTTGGAAGGTGACTCTTCTCCCGTTGCAGGTCGGACCTCTGCACTCCGATTCTCAGACCTCTCTTGCGGCGCCTCATTGCTTGACTCCATTGGAACACTGACCCCCAATTCTTCAAGCAAATCACCAACTGACTCATCTCCCTGAGCACCATCTTCCTCAGCTGGAACCTCAGCTGACCCTGAGGAGTCAGGACCACGTGCATCTTCAGGTTCCGGCACATTGTTTGGTTCTTCACTGTCAGGAGGATTACCAAGCATGCTCAAATCATGATAATTTCCGGCACCCTTTGCACTCACTTGTCCGCGAACATGCACCATGTCAGCTGGCAACAACTTCACAAGTGCTTCCTGATCAGGTGAAAGGCAACGCAACTGCTCTGGACAACAACGGTACACCTTAGTGCCCTTCGCCACCCAAACCTTCGAGGAACCCGCCTTTCCAATGATCACCGCAGGACCATGCCAATGAGCCTTGTTTTCAAACCTATTCCTACGCCAGAAATACACAAGCTGACCGACGTTGAAAGGACCTCGTTCTGGCCTGCTTCTGTGTTCGATGGCTCGCCTAATGCGCATCTCGTTGTCAGCATCAAGGAATGCGCGCCGTGCTGCTGTTCTCAAGGCAAACCTTCGTTCGAACACTGATTCCCCCTGAGCCAATGACGAGTTAATGACCGGATCAGCATCGGAACTGATTAACCCTGGCACACGCACATCACGACCAAACACATGCTGATTTGGCGAATATCCATCCTTTCTAGTCATACTGTTCACAGCGCTGTTCACTTGGTCAACAAGCTCTTGCACCTCCTGCTTATTCCTGGGCCTTGTTTCGATCTGGGCTTTCGAGAAGGCCGTTTTCCACACATCCCCCTTTTTCTCCACCAATCCATTTTGCCATGGCGAGTAGGCCGCCGATGTGTCTCCATACGTTCCGTCCAACGACAGCCCGTGTTCGAACTCCCCCTCGAACTCCTTTCCCCCGTCACAGAACAATCTCACAGGAGCTCCGGCCCAGCGTTTCCAATTCTTCCGATAAGCGTTCCTAACATGTTTGGCCTGCATGCCTTTCCATAAGGGAATGCACAACTGGAACCCCGTAGCCTCATCAACAATGTTCACAAAGTGCAGTTTGGAATCTCGAACCTCCTGTTCAAAAGTATCCACGCACAGCTGCTGATTGAACTCCGTGGCACGCCTAAGCTTCGTGACATTGTGGGACTTAGGCTTCGTCAACTCAGAACATGTCTCGCACTGCAATCCCCTCGCAAGTCTCATGACTCTCTCACTGGCATGCGCAGCACGCAACAGCATCGTCATGCGTGCCGGTGAAGGATGCCCCAGATTCTCATGGCAACGCCTCAAAAGTGACATCACCCTACGATCATCCTGGGAATTCTCCGACCTCAAATCTTCAATCGAAAACACACAATGCGCAACGTGCACTTCATCGACCTGTTGCCTGGCCTTCATCAAGCTCACCGCAACATCCTTCATGAAACATCTCGGATCCTGAAGCTCACGCACATTCACCCAGGTCTTCTGCATCTGCTGCTTCACATGTTGACTGTTGGTGTACATGTACCAGGCACTCTCGCTCTCCACTCTCTCCACGCACAAAGTTCTCTCATCATCCTTCTCTTTCTTCCACTGCTTGACCCTCTCACTCATGCATCCGTTCACGTCTTCAATGCAAAACAACCGCCCTTCACACACTTGCTCAGCGCAACAAGCAGTAACCAAACGAGTGTAATCAGCTTTGTACTTAGCATGAAACGTTCGCACCAAGTGACGAACCCCTCGTGTTTTGGTCATGTGATCAGGAGGACGCACCACTAACAGTTTCGGCTGCACTCGTCGGATCATTTTTAGCGCTTGCTCGATCGTCTCATGGCTCCGAATCTGAGCAGGCTCAAGCTGCTCAAAAATGTACTGCACGCTGAGACCCACTGCCGTGAGTACCTCCTCGCCGGATCCTTTTTCGAACACCAAAGCATCAACGCCACTATCAGAACCATAAAGCTCCACTGGGACCCGAGAGCAGGCTTCCACCCCACGCCTACACAGCTTCTTCTCAGCATGACTCATATACGACACCGCCTCAGTTTCTGAGACGGTTGCATCTACAACTCGGCATTCTCCTCCATCTCCTCGAGCTGGAAGTTCAACGCCTCGATCTGTTCGCGAATCAACCTTCGACGGCGATCTGTCGCACTCTCTGGCTCCGGCTCGGGCATCACCAGCCAATGGCTTTCCCACACTGAGTCCGGCTCCGGATTGCTCGCCTGAACCATTGGTGCCTGGCCCCTTGGTGCCGGCTGATGCGAGCTTGCCGTCTGATGCGAGCTTGCCGATCGCATTGTCACTGACTGCCCTGCTGCTTTGGCCTTGGCTTTCGGTCGGCTTGGCAGCAATGGCGGCTGAGCCTGGCGAGGCGCTGGTGCTGCTGCTTGTCCCATCTGAAGCCTCATAGACTTCCGCTGATCCCGAAGAGCTATGTACAAGCGAAACTGGGTCATCGTCGGGTGGCTGGTTTTGTTGGGCGACACCGACTTTCCGCGGATGAACTTGCGGACCCAGGCAACGTACCTCTTGTCCAGCTCGTAGGCTTGCTTGAACGTCATGAGGGCCCCGGCTTTCTGGTATTTCCCCACATTGAAGAGCAGGCGTCCCAGATTGCCATCTATCCCGGGCACGACTGCGTCGTTCTCGTCGTCGCTTTGATCGGGAGCTTCGTCCAGGATCTTTGCATGCACATCCGAGATCTGGCCGTCGCTCTCCTCCATTTGGCTCGCCACTTCCGTCATCAGCTCGTCGATCAATGCATTGCGACGCACTCCTGGCATCGGCGCATCCGTCATGGCGTTCCCGGCGTAGCTCATGATGGTCTCTGGGCGGGCTCGCCGGTTCGTTGCTACTCGCTGATTGATCCACAGAAAACTCTGCGGCGTTCACTTCATGCGTCTTCTGATGCACATTCTTCTTCATCGCCTTCTTGACATTGTGTGGTTGTAATCCACAAAACAAGGGAAGTGCATAGTGGCCCCGTTCTGTCTCCCGCAGCTTCACTTGGACCCCATACTTACCTATTTCCAAAACATCATTCCCCATATCTAATTTGACTTGCAAACTACGCAACAGTTCCTTCGACAAAAGAAGTGGCGTTTCAGACCCCGAACCTGGCAACACAGCAGCCCTTATCGCCAACTGCTTGCCACCGAGACACACGGGAATCAGTGCTGAAACCGAGGATCTCAAGGTACCCGCATTACCGAATCTAAACTCATGATTCTCCCTCACAAAACGCACTCTCAGCCCTGACTTCGCTAGTGTCTCCGACATTCGCTGCAAAACGGATTCACCTATCAATGTCCGCCTACACGCAGTGTCTGGCACCCCATGCTCAGCAAGATCAGCGCACTCCAACATGTATGCCTCATGAAAGCGCACGTCCTTGCTCGATCCCGAGCTGTTCAAAAAGTCCTTCAAGCTACGCTCAAAGTCCCCCCTCATCTCAGTCCCGTCACCCAAGGCTTCTTCACGATCTGCCACGATCACCTCCACGTCGCCGTCCTTCTCCGCCAAGAAGATCTCAAACTTCTCCAGCTCGTCGACGTCGAGAAAGTGCTCACCCTCGATGCTCTTGTAGCCGTCACCATCCGCCAACATTGCCTCGTTCGAGCCAACCGCGCGAGACGAGCGCCCATGTTGAAGCCCTTGTGCACGTTTTGGGCACTCACGCTTCCAGTGCCCACGCTCTTGGCAAAGATGGCATTTTGTCTTGCTCTTGAGCATCTCGAGTTTTCCTTTGACCGTTCCAGACAGTTTCCATTGGCCACCCATGTCATTCTTGTAGCCTCTGCCCAACCGCTTCTGTTGGACCCTTTTCCGCACGTCCTTGTAGGTCTCGAAGACGTCCAATGCATCCTCATCATCATACTCATCTGCAGACTGCACTTGGTCTGCCACTGCTTGGAAGACATCGTCCACGTTGTCGGCCGCATCATTGTCCGCCTCGACTGTCTCGGCCTCATAGACCTCCTTCACCTTGCTGCTAACGTTCTTCGCGATGCCTTGCGGAAAGATGGCCTGGATGGCTCGCGTCACATCTTCATGCTTAAGTGACCCCTTGGTATGTGTCATCACCAGGGCCTCCGACGCACTGTCCAGCTGAAGCTTCCTCACCAAGAACCAACCTCGCACTTCTGCCGGAAGTTCAACACTATGTTCTTGCAAGCGCCTGTACGAAGTATCCATTCTCACCATCATGTTCCTGTACGACTCACCAGACTTGATCTGGAGGCCATAGAAGTACTCCTGAAGGTGATTGTGCAATGCTTCTTTAGCCAATTCCTTGTATCGGCCGTCCAGCGCTTCCAGAATCAGCGCGTGTCCGCCCTCCTTGGTAATCTTGTCCAGAGGGATGGCTTCACACACATCTTCGGCTTCTCCTGCCACGAACTCCAACAGCTTGGCTCCCCACCGGTCCTTTGTGTAGGTAAAGCCAGCAACATTAGTTCTGCTTTGCGGCGCCAGCGCTTGTACATCGACGGCTGGCTCCCGTCAAACCGCTCCAGCTTCGGTCGCTCCTCATCCTTCCCTGGACCACTCATTATGCAGGCTCACGTTGTAGCGGTCGTCGTGCGCACTTCCGCCTCCGGAGAATCTCCGTGGCAGTCCAGTGCTCCGCTACCACCTGAAGATCACAAGACTCCAGGCGGTTCCGACGGCTTCACTTTTCCATGATCCGCATTCGGGCGATCTCAGGTGACTAAGGGGACCTTGATAAGAAAGGTTCCCGGACGCACACTTCTTCCTGACTGAACATGTGGTTTCTTTACAAATCCCGGGCTTGCTTGGCATCATCTGCAACGACACCTGAATCAAGCGTAGAAATCTGCACTTTGGATTATTAAAGGGTTTTAGGATTTAGGGGTTCGGGGTTTAGGGGTTTCGGGTTTGCGGGTTTAGGGTTTCGGGGTTTTTGAACGCCTTGTTCCGTCGATGCGTAAGGGAACAGGAGCAGGGTTGCCTTAGCGGAGTTAAAGTTTTCGGGCGTCATGGTTTAGGGTTCAGGCGGGTTTCGCCCTTGCGGTTTCAAGTTACAACTTTTTCTGACATTCACGCTGGGGAAACAGTCTAAGGTTTAGGGTTTACGGGCGGTTTCAGTTCTAGGGTTCGAGGGCTTGGAGACACGGAGAGGCAAGTTCAACGGTCAGGGTTCAGGGGTGATTGAGGACTGCAACTGACAGCTATCACGAGGTATATCCGTATGTGGCATGGACCTTTAGGGTCTATTTGGCAATCCTGCTGGGCTTTGTATTTAAACTGCAACAACACCACGGCGACAAGAAGCCACGACGACTCGGTTTAGCACGACGACGACTGGGTTCAACACGGCGACGACAAGGTCTGGCACGACGGTTACATCGGGAGGCCGAAGCGCGTACAGTGTAAAGGTCTCGACAGGAGTTTAAGGGTCTAGGGTCTTAGTTCCTAACTATGGTTTACCGGGGTCAGTATACTATGGAAGATCTAAGGTTTGGAGTTTATGAGGATTTAGATGGTTTTACGCTCTCACAAGTTCTCCGTGCTGGTTTTAGGGTCTATCACAGTCTATCACAATGTCCTCCCGTCCCTCTCGCGCCGGGAACCATCAAGAATCTGTCTTGTGTATTTCTCGTCCTGTGTCTTTCTCTCATTCCCGTTCCTCTTCCTGCCTATCCACTCTGCCGTTTGTCAAGAAGACACAGAAATTGAAGTCATGACAGAGGAATAGGCATGAAGATGGACGAAGTGAACTCTTCATTCTCTCGTCTCTCCCTTCTCTCCTTCCTTTGATTGATCCTTTTTCTGTTTCTTTTCTTGTCGCCTTCTGCTGTCAATGACAGGGGTAACACGAGGGAGGGGCAAAGGGACGACGTCAGTTCCTCTCGACGTGGTTCGTTTTTTCATTTCCTCTCGCGTTGTCTCTCTTCCGCCTCTCTCTCTCTCTCTCTCTCTCTCTCTCTCTTTTTCTCGCTCTGTCTTCCTCTCTGCCGTGTCTCGCTCTCTCATCTCTTCTGTCCCTTCTTTCCTTGCTCCCTTGCTGGAAGGAATAGAAAACAGAAGCGAAGACATAAGATGGAGGAAGATGGTTGGGAGAAGGTGGATTCCTCCCTCACTCGGCTCTTTGACTTTCTTTGCCCTTGCCTTCTTTTCTCTGCTCCTATCCTTCTTCACAATTAGAAGGAGAAGCGACAAGAACGGAGAGCTCAGGGAGAGCAAGTGACACTGTTCCTCATAATCTCCTCCTTCCTCGTGTTCATTGCGTTGTCCATCTCCCCCTCTCTCTCTCTCTCTCTCTCTCTCTCTCTCGCTCTCTCTCTCTCCCTCCATCCTTTCCTCTCTACTTCTGCACATTTACTTTTCCACTTCTCTCGCCTACTACATTATGCTTGATTTGATACTTATCTTCAACTTTCTCTCACTCTCTTTGTCCCATCGCTTGCCCTGTTCCTTCTCCTCCTCCCTTCCCTGCCTCCCGTCCTTCTCCCCTTATCACTCAGAAGGAAGAAGGAAGACTCACAAGGAGAAAGACAAGGGAGTAAGAAAACAGACAAAAGAAACGGAGAGAGAGCCATAAGGGACGAAATACAGAAACAAAGAGAGAAAATATGGGGGAAAGATAATCAAAAAGAGAGACAGAAAGAGGAGGCGATGCATAAAGCAGCCGACAGTGCCTTGACCTCCACGTCTATTCATTCTTTGTTCTTGTCCTATCACACTGTCTCATTGGTGATAAACCAGGAAGAGCTTGTGGAGGGAGACGAGGAAGAAGTGTTCTCCTCTTCACTCACCTTGTGCCCTTCCTCTCCCACCGCTCGCCCGCTCTCCTTTCTTTGATTTTCTTGTCTGGCGGAAAAGTGGGAACCAGGAGAAAGAAGAGAGATACAGAGAGAGCCAGGGAGAGCTTCAAGCCCAGCAGAGGAAGAAGAGAGAGGAAGATAAGAGAAGGGGGCAAGGGGTGGCCAGAAGAAGCGTAAGCCAAAGCTACGTATTGAAAGGGCGGAAGCCCCATTCTCCTCTTCTTCCTCTTTGCTCTCTTATTTTTCTCTTAGCGCAGGGCATGCATGGAGCTAGGAAAGGGAAGGGGTCAAAGCGGATGAGAGAAAGTAACGGAGAGAGCTGTTCTTCGTCCCTCTCACCTCCTCCTCTCATTCTCCTGATGCTTACTCATGTCAGAAGGGTCTGGAAAGGAGTGAAGGCTAGGGCATGGACTGAAGCGAGGCAATAGGTGAAAGTGGATAAGAGAAAGTCGGGGGAAGTCGAGTGCGAAAGAAAGAGAAACGAGGAAGACTAGGAAGAAGGACACAGAAGAGGAAGCGAGAGAGTACCAGTGTTGCCGTATCTCAAAGGACTCCGGGCCTCGCGAGGGCTTCGAGGAGGCTTGTAGGCGCCTTCAGACACTTCCACAACTTTCTGGAGGCCACCAACTTCCTCCCTAAGGGGGCCTCTTGAGGACATGAACACCAAACCGAGTATAAAGAAAGCAGGGGGATGTAGAGAAGCAGAGTGTGGTAAGAAGGAGCAAGGAGAATCAGTTCGCGTCTCCTCATCGTTTCCTTTTTGAATGACCAGAGGAAAGAAAAGGATAAGGAGGAAGGGCTCTGCGAAGACATAAGGAAAGAAGAGCAGACAACAGAAAGGAAGCGGTAAGATGCGGGAAGACGGTTCGGAGAAGAAAGGAGAATTCCTCCTTCGCTCGCCTCTCTTACTTCCTTGCCCTTCGCCTTCTTCCTCTTCTCTTACCCTATTCATCTTCATAAGGAAGGAGAAATGAAAGGAACGGAGAGTTCAGGGCATGCAAAGGGCACTCTTTCTCATCACCTCATCCATCCTCCTTTTCATTGTTCTCTCCAGATCCCTCTTTCTCTCTCCCTCCCTTCCCGTCTACTTCTGCACATTCCCTTTTCCGCTTCTCTCCGCCTATTATGTTCGCTTTGATAAAATCGCTTGCCCTATTCCTTCTCCTCCTGGCTTTCCTGCCTCCCGTCCTTCTCCCTCTATCACTCAGAAGGAAGAAGGACGATTCACAAGAAAGAAGCGTAAGCCAAAGCTACGTAATGAAAGGGCGGAAGCCCCTGTCTCCTCTGTTCTTCCTCTTTTCTCTCTTATTTTTCTCTTAGCAAAGGGCACGCATGGAGCTAGGAAAGGGAAGGGGTCAAAGCGGATGAGAGAAAGTAGCGGAGAGAGCTGTTCTTCGTCCCTCTCACCTCCTCCTCTCATTCTCCTGATGCTTGCTCATGTCAGAAGGGGTTGGAAAGGAGTGAAGGCTAGGGCATGGACTGAAGCGAGGCAATAGGTGAAAGTGGATAAGAGAAAGTCATAGACAGAGAGTGGGGGAAGTCGAGTGCGAAAGAAAGGGAAACGAGGAAGACTAGGAAGAAGGACACAGAAGAGGAAGCGAGAGAGTACCAGTGTTGCCGTATCTCAAAGGACTCCGGGCCTCGCGAGGGCTTCGAGGAGGCTTGTAGGCGCCTTCAGACACTTCCACAACTTTCTGGAGGCCACCAACTTCCTCCCTAAGGGGGCCTCCGAGGACATGAACACCAAACCGAGTATAAAGAAAGCAGGGGGATGTAGAGAAGCAGAGTGTGGTAAGAAGGAGCAAGGAGAATCAGTTCGCGTCTCCTCATCGTTTCCTTTTTGAATGACCAGAGGAAAGAAAAGGATAAGGAGGAAGGGCTCTGCGAAGACATAAGGAAAGAAGAGCAAACAACAGAAAGGAAGCGGTAAGATGCGGGAAGACGGTTCGGAGAAGAAAGGAGAATTCCTCCTTCGCTCGCCTCTCTTACTTCCTTGCCCTTCGCCTTCTTCCTCTTCTCTTACCCTATTCATCTTCATAAGGAAGGAGAAATGAAAGGAACGGAGAGTTCAGGGCATGCAAAGGGCACTCTTCTCATCACCTCACCATCCTCCTTTTCATTGTTCTCTCCAGATCCCTCTTTCTCCCTCCCTCCCTTCCCGTCTACTTCTGCACATTCCCTTTCCGCTTCTCTCCGCCTATTATGTTCGCTTGGAAAGAATCGCTTTGGAAAGAATCGCTTGCCCCCTATTCCTTCTCCTCCTGCCTTTCCTGCCTCCCGTCCTTCTCCCTCTATCACTCAGAAGGAAGAAGGACAATTCACAAGGAAGAAGACAAGGGAGTAAGAGAAAGACAACAGAAGCGGAGAGACAATCCGAGAAGGGCAGAAGAAGAACGAGAGCCATAAGGAAACAAACACAGAAACAAAGAGAGAAAGTAAGAGAGAAAGACCAGCAAAAACAGAGGCAGAGAGTGAGAGAAAGGAGGGGAGGGGAAGCGATGCAGAAAGCAGTCGAAAGTGCCTTGCTTGTCCTATCTCACCGTCTCATTGGTAAAAAACCAGGAAGAGGTTGTGGAGGAAGACAAGGAAGAAGTGTTCTCGTCTTCACTCACCTTGTGCCCTTCCTCTCCCACCGCTCGTCCGCTCGACGGAAAGAAGAGAGTTGCGGAGAGGGCGAGAGAGAGCTTCAAGCCCAGCAGAGGAAGAAGAGAGAGGAAGATACGAGAAGTGTGGAGGAAGTGGCCAAAAGAAATGCTACGTAATGA